ATGCGCATCGGAGGCGCCGTCGGTGTGACGTCGCGGTGGGCGCGCGGGTGTTTCTGGGGACTCGTCGACGAGTCGTGACTCGTGGGACGGGCAGCACGCGCGGCGATCACACGCGGGCGTGGATGCCGGTGGCGTGTGCGGTCGATGGGGGGTTTTGTGTTAATATACGTGATCTGTGGATCACGGCGATCGCCGAGGCGTGGATGACGGTGGCGTGTGCGGTCGATGGGGGGTTTTGTGTTAATATACGTGATCTGATCCGGCGGCGATCGCCGAGGCGTCGATGCCGGTGGCGTGTGCGTTCGATGGGGATTTTGTGTTAATATACGTGATCTGTGGATCACGGCGATCGGCTCCCGGCGCGCGGATGTGGCTCGGCTCGTGGTGATTATCGATTAATATTGATCAATGACCACGCGCGGAGACGGACGCGTGGACTATCGCGCGAACGCGGAGGCATTCTTCGCGTACAGCGCGCCGAAGACGAGGGCGGTGCCGGCCCACTGTCCCAACGTCAGTGGATGCATGAAGACGATGCAGGAGAGGATGATGGAGAGGAGCTGACGCGTCGTCATGATGGTGGCGTACGTCAACGCGCCGAACTCCTTGATGGTGTACAGAATCGCGAGCTGGCCGAGCATGGAGCTGAGGGATAATGTTAAGATGTCCGTCGTCACCGCTGGATGCCTGGTGATGAAATCGAGCGCGGTCCACATGGTGCCGTCGGAGACGAGCCAGACGAAGGAGAGACACGCGCTGCACCCGTTGACGTACAACATCTGATTATACGTCTCCATCTGGTACCCCTTGAACAGTTTGTCCTGAAACGTGCTCGTGAACCCGTCGAAGCCGAGGTAGCCCAGCATCAACATCAATCCCTTGGCGCTGCTGTTCTTGTTCGACGCCGCGTGTCGATGCGTCAAATCTCCGTACAGCGCGAACATCGTGCACCCGGCGGTGACGCTCAAAGCCACCAAAAAATCGCTCGCCCCGTACCGTCGCTGATTAATAAAGTACCCCCAAATCATCACCGGTATCATCTTCGCGCACTTCCCCAAGGTTTGCACTGGGAAGCTCACGTATCTCAGAGCTTCGTATTGACACGTCGTCGCCAACACGTTCGACGCGCTCACGCCCGCGTACTTCACCAACGGCGCCACCGGTCGCACGGCTCCCCCTATTCGCGCCAGTATGAACGCCGCCAACGACGCGCTCAGCACTCGATTGCTCAGGACGAGGAAGACGGAGTACTTGAAGAACTCTTTCTCCGCACCGTCTCCGTACGGTCGCGTCATGATCCGCTCTTGTAAGATGCCGTACGCTATGAGGGAGCCGACGACGCTCACGACGCAGAATGCGATCTTGGCGAGCTGCGAGTGCTCGGGCTTGGACGCTTGGTGCGTCGACGCGGTGGGCGACGCGGTGGTCATCTTGGACGCGCGGGAGTCGAAGAGTGCGGCGCGCGGCGGATCGCGAGTGCGGTTCATCGGTATGCATCGGTTCTACGAGACACGTCGAACGATCGGTCGCGGTTTGATTTCTACGTCTCGGATCGGTCGGGGTAAGGCTTCGGCGATCTCGCGAGCCTTGTTTAAGAGCTCGGATTTCTCAGTCAAGCCGCGACACGTGGCGTCCGAGGCGGCGCGCGCTTGAACCACGGCGCGCGCCGTCTTGATCGAGCACGCACCGTCTCTATCGATCTCTTTTCGTAGGTTTGAGATCGATTGGGCGTCTCGAAGGAGGACGACGCAGTCGGCGTGCCCGCGTTGTCTCGCGACGTCGATCGGACGCTCGTGCACGTCGTTCGCCAACGACGCCTCGGCGCCGCACTCGTGCACGAGGGCAACGAGGGAGTCTAGTCGTCCCGCGCCCGCGGCAGAGTGTGCCGCGGTGCTCTCGCCCTTGTTCGTGACGTTGGGATCCATTCCTTGGGCGCAGAGCCAACGAACGCAATCAACGCGCGCGTTGTATGCCGCCCAATGTAAAGCGGTGTTTCCTGAGAATCCGTAATTCGTTCCCTCACCATTGGCGTACAGTACGTCCTCGTTTTCGGCGTACAGCTTTTTCATAACCTCGAGTTCTCCGGCCTTGGCGGCGTCGAGCCATCGCTTTTGAACCGCGCGATCGAGCTCGACGATTCGTCCATTGGACTCCTCATCTTCGTGCACGACCTGGAGCGTCGCATTCACCTTCACTGGCGTCTCCACGTCCTCGCACGCGCCGCAAAACATCGGAACATCCGATATCGGATAATTTTGGGCCACAACGAGCCTCTGAGCGAGCTCCTGTGGCAAATTTTTCATGCGCAACGCCACGTCGCCCGGCGTCTCGCCAATTTCATCAACAATGTCAACGCGCGCGCCGCGCTCTAAAAGAAGCCTCACGCATTCTTCTCGCCCGTTCGCTGCCGCCGAGTGTAATGCCGTTGCGTCGCACGCGTTCAACATATTCAAGTCATACCCACCCTTGTCGACCAAGAATTTGAGTACGTCGACGTGTCCTCTCGCCGCCGCCCAGTGCGCCGCAGAGTGACCGATACCGGACGATCGCGCGTGTACGAGCGCGGGATCGCGGTCGAACATTTCCATCACCTGCAGTAAATCTCCAGTCTTCGCAGCGTCGATCCACACGCGAATATCCGCCGTAGATGCCGCAGAGACGTCACCGAGACTCAATTGAGGCTCACGCTCGTCGTTCGATTCATCTGACTGATCTTGGCTCCACTGTCTTCTGAACCTCGGCGAGCCGTAGCTCGGCGAGCCGTAGCTCGGCGAACCCGGTAGAAAATCACTGCCGCTATCACTATCACCGTCGTCGCGCCCTAAGCCGTTCAATCCCCCGGCGAGGTCTCGCATCGACTCCATGAGCTGCGCGAGTGTCACGTCGTCCAGAACTCCGTCCTCGCCGTCCAGGTCCAATCCCTCGAGCTCATCCGCCATGGCCTCCATGATGAATGCCTTCAGCTCATCCTCCTCGCTAGCTCGTGCATTTGACGACGACGATTTGCGTGTTCGCGAACGCGAAGCTAACTCGCCCGCGATCTCCGTCACCGCGTCGACGCCGTTTTCGTCGATGAACTCTCTAACCTTTGGCGGCACCGCGAACGTAGTCTCGTCCTCGAATCTCAAACCGTCAGGAAACGTCCCTGAAGGGAACAAATATCTTGGAAATGGAAACGGTGGCATAGTCGCCAGCTCTTTCGCGCTCATCCCTCGGCAGAGCGTCGCCACTTCGTCACCGCCGAAGCGCGACTCGAAGAGCTCACGAAACGCCTCTAAATACTCCTCCACTTCCACCTCCATCTCCTGTGAACGCGCGACGCAAAGTCGTCAAAGTCAGTCACCGTGTTGTTACATGAAAAATCAAATCAAACACGAGCATCGAGTAGATCGACGTACCTCCATCGCGCCGCCAGAATCGTAAAACGCGCGTTTGTTCGCGTCTCGCAACGTCTCGTACGCCCGCGCGACCTCCGCGAACGCCCCATCGTCCTCCCCCGACCGTCGATCGGGATGAAACTTCGCAGCGAGCTTTCTATACGCCTTGGTGATCTCCTGGAGAGTCGCATCGCGTTTGACGCCTAGCACGGCGTACAAATCGGGTCGATTCGCGTCTTCATTCGTTCCTGTTTCAAAAGCTTCAGAGAAATCACCCTCGAGCTCGTTCACGACGCCCAAAGCGGGCGCTCGCGGCGTTCGAGACGTCGTGCTCGCGTGCGCGTGCGCGCGGGCGCGGGCGTTCAAACCAGCACCCTCATCCTCGGAATCGTCGACGCGCATGACAGCCGCGCTCTGCGGTCGCCGTCGAGTCGTCGCGGATGCACAGCACAATCAACAATCGATCGCTCGATCGACGCCGAACGCTCGAAGCGATCACGCGCGAATGAATTACATTAAATTAAACGTACGTCTCGACCCATCACGCGGTCGCGACGCGCTCTAAGATCATCCCCACCTCCTTCACTTCCTCTTTTCCGCTCGGCGTGTCGATCGGCACCGAGTGACTCGCGATCGCGTCCATCACCGCATCGAACGATTTATTATCGCACGTGTAATACGCCCGCACCTTTCGCTTCGCCGGTGGATTCAACCACGTCGTCACGTCCACGGGCGCGCTCACTTCGAACACCGCCGTGGTCAGACGCAAGACGTCGCCCACGCGCGCGCCCGCCGCGTGCGCGTTCGACCCCTCCTCGACCTCATCGACGACGATGGACGTCCTCGACCCCTCGGTGCGTTGTTCGAGAAACATGCCTAACGGGCGTTCGCACGCGATGCACACGGCGTCGGCGGTGAGGGGAAACCGCAGCGTCGTCACCGCTGGGGTGTCACCACCGAGGTCGATCGCGAATGATTTGTTCACCTTGTCGGGCACGTTCGGGATCGTTTCGTCCGCGCCGGTTTGTTTCACCAACGCGCGCGCGGTGACGGCGCGGGAGCTCGCGCGGGGGCGGGCGCGGGCGAGGCGTGGATGCGGGCGGGCGTCGCGCGCGCGGGCGCGCATGGCGAGAGGCGGGACGTGAGGCGCGGCGGAGAGACCGACAATCTTCGGTTGCATCGATCGTTTCGGCGCTCACGAACGGTCTCGGGCTCGGGTTCGGACGTACTCACCGACGCGTTGTCGGAGAGCGCCGGTCTGGATCACGCCACCGACGCCGTTTCGCCACTCGGATTGCTCTCGAGAGACGGCGTCGAGCGACCACATTTGCGTGAGTCTGTCGTAGTTTGCTCTCGGGTCGTGGAGCGGGTGGTCGGGCGCCCTTAAGTCCTCGACCTCGATCGTCACGAACGCGGTGACGGCGTCGGAGAACATCTCCGATCTCGGGTCGTCGAACTGCGGGGGGAGAGGTTTGGTCAAGAGCGGTTTGTTGGCCGGGCGAGACGGCGGCGGGTCGCGCTCTCGCTTGACGCCTCGCTCAGATCCGTTGTCCCAAGACGACGATCCCGGGGCGTTGGGGCGCGATGGGGGGTATCCACCGCCGTGGTGTCCCGGGCGCATCGCCGCCGCGAGGCTAGATTCGCGCTGAGGCGGGGCGGGAGCTGCACCGTAGCGACCGGGACCGCCGCGACCGCCGAGCGCGCTTCCGGGTGGAGCGCTTCCGTTGAATCCACCGCCGCGACCGCCCGTCATCGCGCTGCGCGGTGGCGCCGTCGCGTTGAACCTCGATCCCGGCGGCGTGCTTCCGCCGAAGCGATTGAGTGCACCGCTCGACGGCGATCGTGTCCCCCACGGCGCGCCGCCCGAACCGCTTCCAGAGTCGTTTCGTCTGAGCTGTTGTTGCTGCGGTGCTTCGACGCGCGGTCGCTGGGGCATCGGTCCCATCAAACCGGTACCGATGTATTGGTACTCGAAATCTCTCGCCAGCTTCATCAGTGGCGTGTCGTTGGCGACGCGAAGATCGCCGAGGGCGTTCATCAGCGTTCCCCCCGCGGTTTGCGTCTCCTTGATGCGCACGATGACGAGCTCCTTGAAGTGCGTCATGAGGTCCATGAGGATCTTCAAAATCTTCCGAAGGAGCGCGGCATGCGCTCCCGCGGCCGCGGATGGACCACCCAAGACTTTGATGCACTTCTGAAAGCCGGAGAGCATGCCACTTGACACGAGGGTGGCTTGTAACTCTGGGTGCTTGGTCAACGAAATCGCCTCGAGAATCAAACCGAGGTCGCGCGTGTTCACCTGAGTCACCCCGTGCTCGTCAACTGGATAGCACAGGTTGAAGAGTTGCACGCATCGAGTGATGGAATCCTTCGAACGCAAGCCACCACTGGCGCCCTGGAGATCCTCCATCTTGAGATCGACCTCAGTGCGCTTCTTCGCCCCAGCGGAGACAGCGCTCCACTTGCTCGCGTATGAATCCGTCGGCGCCCGGACGCGACGAATGTTCGAGCCATCTGTGCGCAATCGCGCCGTGGCGCGCTCGGCGCGATTGTGCTCACGTTCCTCAGCCTTGCGTTGACGCTCCATCTCTCGAACCTCCTCCGGAGGTCGCCATGACTTACTCTCCGCCTTGACGGCGGACTTTTTCGGCGCAGCAAATCTTTCCGCCGTCGTCGCGCGTCCGCGCGCCTCCTCTTCCTCGATCTGCGCATCAGTCAGTAGCGTCATGACGGGTTCCAAGTCGTTCTCATGCGCCTCCTCATCTTCATCATCTTCGATGTTATACGCTTTGGCCGCCTCCGCAGCCTTGGCGCCGCCGATCCATCCGCAGCACGCGCCCGCCATGCAGTAACATCGCGACGGCTTTTCGCCGAATCGCTCGAATTTGTAATCAATCGTCAACTCCTCTCCGGCCTGGACGTCTCGGGTGGCGAATATCCCAATTCGGAGCTCGCCGCGCACCATCCATTTCTGCGTCTCGCAGTTCGGCGCGCACGAGTGGTTCAAGAACCGCCCTTCGTTCCCGCGCAACGTCGCGTCGATGGTTTCGCTGCTGGAGAGCGTCATGAAGTAGTAATGGCTCCGTCCCTCGTCGTGATACCTCTGCTTACGCTCGGCGTACGCGTCTTCGTGCAAGACCTCTCCGCAGTACTCCATGACAAACTCCCCAGCTCGCACGTCTTGGGCGGCGAACAAGCCGTGACCCTTTTTACCCGTCCGCTTCACGTTCACCTCCTTGTACGCGCCGCGAGACATGCGTTGATTCTGACACGCGCTCCCGCACGGACAGTGCGCCGGATCGCACTCCGATAAGACCAATCGATTCAAACAATCCGCCCCGCACCCGACGCCGTCCTCGACGCAGCACACACACACCATGACGTCGTCGTCCGTCAATCGCCTCCGCTCTCGATGGGCGTAGACGTTTCGAGGAATTTTCTCCCACCGATGCGCGTTCGCCGCCCTTTCGCCCACCCCCCCGCCCCCCCGCGCACCCGCGCTCGCTCGTTCCTGCGCGCGCATCAACACATCGATCTCATCATCCTCCAACTCCTGCGCGTCGTCGCACGTCGAGAATCGCTGATCCATGTTTTGATGACAAAACCACGCGCGGTCATCCCCCAGGCGCTCCGCCACGATCGCCGGCACCCGTCTCCACGTCGCGCACGAATCACACTGCACCCACGCATCGGTGGTCAACGGCGTCGTCGCGAGCAGCGCCTCGAGCGCGGCGCTGCGTCCGTTCGCCATCGCGAAATCCCACGAATGCGAACGAATCCAGCGATGAATGAATGAAATCCACGAATGGCCTCGCGCGCCCGACCGCGCGCGTCGATCGCCCGCGCGAAGTCACCGCCACGCGCCCGTTTCGCGATCGCCCTCGCCCGCGCGTGCGCCCGAGCGCGCGCGTCTGGCGTCGCGCGCGGCCGACGCGCGCGATCGGCGCCATCGTCGCCTGTCGACGCCTTTCGATGTCTCACGACGCCTTTCACCGTCGCCTTTCGACGCCTTTCGATGTCTCACGACGCCTTTCACGACGCCTGTCGATGTCTCACGACGCCGCCGTGGACGTGGGTCCCACACATAGGCATACGCGTCACTGTATACGATACACACACTCGTATACAGTGACGTTTTCGTCCAGCACGCGGCGGCACACACAACAGATCTCGCGATTCGTCGACGCCGAGCGCTCGTCCCGTGCGTTGGCCTCGCCCGCGCGCGCGCGGTGGACGCGTCGGCGTCGTCGTCGTCGTCCCGCGCGCGTCGCGCGTCGACGCGGCGCGCGCGCGCGGGCACGCGCGGGAGAATCGCGCGATCGCGTCGGTCATCGCATCGCGATCGATCGCACATCGCGCGCGATGTCGAACCCGTTCGAGCGCGTCGGTGACGGGATGGAGACGGGGATGAACCCGTTCGGGCTCGCGAGCGATGGCGCGCGCGGGCGTCGGACGCCGAGCGCGGAGGAGTTTAGTAACCCGTTCGAGGGGGGGGGGGCGTCCTCGAGCGCGGCGGCGGCGAGCGAAGAGATCGAATTGCCGACGCCGGGGAATAACGCGTACGCGGGCGTGGACGCGCGCTCGACGTTCGGGGCGTATGATGTCGGGAGTGGTGGAGGGGTCGGTTGGGGGGTCGGACGGGGGTTGACGCGGCGACGTCGGGGTCGTTCGTCTCGGGCGCGGCGAACGCGTTTAAGAGCGCGTTCGGAGGCGCGGCGGGACGAAACGCGGCGGCTTCGGTGCCCACGCCGGGAGGGAGCGCGTTCGGTGGTGGGTCGGCGTTCGGTGGCGCTGGGGTCTCTTCTTCGGCTCTCGCGGCGCAGCAAAGAGATCTCGAGCGACGCGAGGCGGAGGTTGTCCGACGCGAACGCGATTTGGAGGTGAGGGAGCGAAATGTACGCGGGAGCGGCGCGGGCGGGCAGACGTACAATTGGCCGTTCAAGTGCTGGGCGATTGCGTATCACAATATCGCGGCGGAGATTCCGCAGGAACACAAGCGTTGCGTGCAGATGTGCTACCTCGTGTATTGCATCTTCGTCCTCGCGTTGTTGTGCAACTTCATCGTCGTCACGTTCAGACTCTTCGCGGACCAGGAGTTTTCATCTTTCTTGATGGCGTTCATCTACACCGTCTGCGGGATCCCGGGAGCGTATTACTTGTGGTATCGACGGGTGTACAACTCGTGCAAGTCGAACCGCGCGTTCGGGTTCCTGTGGTTCTTCTTAATGTTCATGGTGCACATCAGCTTCGTGGTCTTCGCCTCGGTCTCCCCGCCCGGTTTGTTCGGCGCTGAGCAAATGTCGCTGTGCGGTATCATGAATTTTAAGCAGGCAATGGAACGGGACAAAGTCTTCGGGTACATGCATGCCGTGGTGATGAGCATGTTCATGTTAGACGCTTGCTTGGCTGTCATTTGCATTCGCTTGGTGTACACATCCTTCCGGGGAGGCGGACACACCATGGAGCAAGCGCGCGCCGAGGCGTATCAGGAAGGCATACGGGCGGCTGCGACGAGCGGCGCTTTCCGCGGTCCGGGCGCGGTTTAGACTGCGTTCATTAGAAGGTTTCGATTTTGCAACAACGATATGATATTCTATGCGAGGCACTCATTAGCATGTCTGCAACTCTCTGTCCCACGACTTTTCATAGTTATCGACGGCAAACTTGTACATCTCCGTCTGGTACGCGATCGCATCCTTGACCTTTTGCATCATGTCCGTGTCCTTGAGGTACGCATTTAACCGTTGCTTCAGTCTCGGGGTCATCTTGCCGTCGCTGCCGTTTTTGAAACCATTTCTCTCAGCGGCGATGTCGAGGCCTTCGAAATCAGGCAGCTTGGTCTTCAACTTCTTCAAGCCATCTTCGATCTTTTCCATGAGCAAATATCGCACACATCCGCTCATGATGTTGTTCTCAAAAGCCTTTTGGTGGCACTTTGAACCGTGCGGAAACACTCCCGGGGCGATCAACTGCGTCCAGTCGTCGTTGAGCGTGTACGCCAACCACTCCAGCGGCGTGAGCGGGCACTCCTTCTTTTGCTTCCATTCCGGCAACCACATGGCTTGGCCTTCCGATCCCTCCAAGCACGAGTATTTGTAGTGACTCATGAAACGCTCGTACGGATCGCGAATGACGGTGATGTACGCGCACGGTGCCTCCGTGGTGGAGCAAATCCCCATGGAATACGGCCCCTTCGAGATCATTCGTTGTCCCTTTTCGTACGCCTGCTTGAGATGATCCGTCGCGAACGCGCCCTTGTCCTTCTCCAAGAACGCGTGCGCGGTGGTCAGGACTCCGCGAATCGTGGTGTCGAGGAGCGGCGCCGGAGATAACCCGGGAACGAAGTATCCGGGCGGCATCAAGTTTCTTCGCACTGGGTCGCCCTTTTGCCTGTTGAGCTTGTTCGCCAAGTTGGTCATGACGAGCTGAAAATTTGTCCCTCCCGCCTTGGGGACGTGCACGAAGTTGTATAGCATCGCTGTGTTATTCTTAGCCTCGATTGCCTTTTTCCACCCGTTCTTGGGCAGCAGATATGGCTCCTCAACGTTAGATTCAGCGTCGCCAAACAGGCGCACGAGCTTAAACGTGCTCGGCGTCACCGCGAATACGTCCGGCGAAACCTTTCTGTTTCGCGTCCAATCGTTCAGCTTCTTTTGCATCCCTAATCCTGCATCACTGTGCAGTCCTTTCACGACGAAATACTTCTCGGCGTCCTCACTCGCACTCGCGCTTTGCCTCAACACGCAACGTCTGTGCTTCGAGTTGTCGTCGCTATGAAACGTCACCTCCGTCGTGTTCCCACCCAAACTCGCCAATCTCGCCCTTCGAAGGTCATCCGCCTTATGATCCCGACCATTCATCCCGACGAATCCCATGGATGACCCCACGGCCCCCACGGCGCCGCCTCTCAGGTCGACGCCCGCGAACGCCAACGCGCCGATGCTCGCCACGGTCGCCGTGGCGACCACCGCCGCGCGCGTCCCGCGCCTCCGCTCGCCCCGCACCTCATCGGATGCATCTGCACGTTCGACATCGATCGTCTCCGCGCGTTTCGTCACCAGTGGCGCGCGTTCGGCGACGGAAGACCCGCTCATTGTGCTTGTTCTGACGCGCTCGAGAGTTTGGGTGTTACGCTCGCCTTTCTCGCGCTCTTGCGTAATCGACGCTCGTACGGGCGATCGACGCGCGCGTGAACGCGGGAACACGTTTGGGTTCGCCGCTGATGCGTTCGTTCCGAGCGTGAACGACGCGCGCGCGGTTGAATGAAGACTTCCTGTCGATCGCGCCTACTTGGTGTTGCGCTCGTGCGGTTCAACCGCAGCGGACGTCGCGCGCGCGGTCGGACGACTAGATCGGTGTATAGTGCACAGGTTTAGGTTCCTACCTATAACAGAGGCTACGGTGAACGCTATGATCGTCATTTCCGGACGCCCTAGCACGGGACTATCGGACGATTCCAGTTGGCCTCATAGTTTTTGAGCGCGTGGTCGTACACGCCCTGCATCAAGGCGTGTCGCTCGCGGATCGCCTTCATGATGGTCGCATTCTTCATGTACGCGTCGAAACGCTCTTGCGCGGGCGGCGGGAGCTTTTTAGCCTTGTTTTCTGCGTTCCCATTCGCGAGGTGAAGCCGTCGAACTGCGTCTGAGAAATCCGGAAAGGATTTCGTAACCTTTTGCAAACCGTCGGCGTAGTGCTCGGTGATCAGGTACCGCATGCACTTGCTGTCGAGGTTTTGCTTTGCCACGTCCGCGGTACGATGCAGATCTCCGTTCTTGGCCCCCGGGGCGAGTTCCACGGTCCAATCCAAGTTGATCCCGAGGTGCGTCATGAACTCGATGGGATCGAGCGGGCAGTTTCCGAGCTTGATCCACTCCTCGGTCCACTGCGCCTTGCCCTCGGCGCCGGCGAGGCACGAGTACTTGTAATGGCTCAGATACCTTTCGACCGGATCCCGCAGAACGGTGAAGTACATGCACGGCGCCTCGACTGCATCGCACATCCCCATCCCGAACTGCCCTTTGACGAACATCCGTTGCCCTTTGTCGTACTTCTCCTGCAGGCCCTTCTTGCTAAAGTATTGCTCGGGTTGTCCCTTCTTAAACGCATCCAGCGTCGCGTGCGCGTTTTGTTGCGTCGCGTCGATCAGAGGTAGAGTGACGAAATTCGAAAAAGGTGCGTCTCGCAGTTTGTACGGATACCCGTGCTTCTCTCCGATCGCGTCGTTCGCCCTGATCATCAACTCGGTGAAGTACGTCCCGCCAGCCTTCGGCACGTGCACGAAGTCGTACACCATCGGGCTCGAATCCTTGATCTCGATGCCCTTCTTCTTCCCGTTCGGCGGAACCTCATACGCTCTCCCGAATGACGCGCTCCACGCCCGCATGAATTCGTTGATCTCCTTTTGATTCGGTCGTCGATAATTCTTCGTCGGGACGTAGAGCTTCCCGAGCTCGGCTTCGCCCTTGCGCTTCTCCGCGCACTTCAAGTCCCAACGCAGATACGACTCCGGCCACTCACCGATGTTCTCGTACAACCCAACGTACGGCGCCGAGTACCCCGGATGTTCTCGCGAGCACACCGGTCTCGTTCGCCCCCCCGACGCGAACCGGTTCTCGCCCAGCGCCGCCGTCTGCGCGAATCGCCCCCCGTCCGCCTCCGTCGTCGACCCAATCGACACCGCCACCGCGCACGCCCCGACCGCACCGATCACCAGCGCGCACACCGCGCTCGTCTTCGCCCATCCCGTCCGTCGCGCCGCCGTCGTTCGCGCGCCGTCGTCCACGCGCGCGCCGCGCTCGAGGTCATCGCATCGATCCTTTCCATCATCCCCCGTCGACGTCAACAACCGCGCGCGCTCGCTCCGCGGCGCCGCCATCGCGCGCGCGCGTCGGTCGTCGTCGCCGTCGCGCGCGCCCGTCAATGTGCGCGCGCCCGTCGCGGTGTGGCGCGCGATCGCCCGCGCGCGCCCGCCGTGGGTGTTGAGCGAATCACCGAAAGTGTACACACATGGGCTTCATCGACCTTCACTACGTCGAGGGGTCCCGCGCGGTGGTCCACGGCGATCGCCGCGCGCCGCGCGCGAGGCGCTGGGCGCGCGAGACGCGGTCGCGGCGACGCGCGCGCGCGCGCATCGATGCCCGACCCCGATCGCGCCCCGCTCGGGCCGCGCGCGGGCGAGCGCGCGTACGGCGCGGGCGATCCATCGTGGACGCGCGACGGCGGTGTGAATGGTGTTGCGCGCGATGACGACGTCGTGCTCGCGCGGGAGCGACGGAAAGCGACCCGGGTGCGCGGGAAAGGGACGCTGTATATGTTTGTCGTCGTCGCGTGCGCGAGCGTGGGCGCGGTGGGGCGATTGGGTCGTTCGGGGGGGGCGACGCGGCGCGGCGCGTTGGGACTCGGGCGCGACGGAGGCGCGCTGCCGGCGAATTTCTTCGGTGAGATGGGGGGGGGGGTGGACGATCGGGTAGGGTCTGGGGGGGTGCGAGCGTCGACGTCGGCGTCGACGGGTGCGCTCGCGGCGATGCGTAACGACGCCCGGCTCGGGGTTCCGGGTCTGGCGGCGCACGTCGCAGAGAGACGCGACCCGGAGAGCGACGACGCGAGAATTTTAGTCCTGACGAAGCCGTTCGAGTGGGGGATGACGTATTTACAAATAGCGAGCGTTAAGAGATGGGCGCCGAAGTTGCTGCCGCACATCACGGTGCTGACGTACGACGAGGCGACGCAAAAGTCGTGCGAGGCGCACCGCGGGGTGGATTGTTTCTTCGACACAGATTTCGTTCGACAGTTCGGAGCGAACGTGAACGACGGTAAGGCTAGGGATGCGATGTCGTGGCGTAAGGTGCACGCCGCGCTGGAGCTCCTCAGGGCGAAGGTTTCCGTGGTTATTTTAGATTCAGACACGGTGTTCCTCTCCGATCCCACCGAGGCGTGGACGAACGCGTTGGAGAAGTACGATGTCATCGTGAGCTCGGACGTCGGTGACGAGCGTGAGGCGCAGGGAAACATGAACACAAAAATGGTGATCTTCCCCGCGAGCGCGCGGAGCGAGGAGATTTGTGAAAAATGGCTCGAAGGTGAATCGCGTTTGGTGTCAAACGTCAATTTCGGAGAGTACCCAGAGCAGTCCTTCTGGAATTACGTCCTCGTCCCTACGAACGCGGGGAGGTATCACATCCACGCCATGAGCACGGCGGAGTCTAGTAACTTCATTACCGCCGCCGCAGGCGCAGACGGGACGTTTCCTGGCACTCACACCGTCACCGCCTCGTACTGCGGCGACACTGAGGACAAGGAACAATTTCTCCAGCACATCCTCGAGACCAAGCATAACGCCGAGGCCAAGCTCGGGATCGGACCGAAATCCGTCACCGATCCCTCTAACACCGCCTTACCGCTGCATTCGGCCACGGACTTCGACCACGACGGCGTCGCCGACGCCGCCGCGTTTCCGCACCCAGACCTCAAATGCGACCACGTCAAGCGCAGGCTCGTGGCGGAGAAGCGTTTCGCCGTCACGTCCGATCGACACATCACGTGGACGTGATCGATCGCACCCGACGTTCGTTACACACACCGAGTGGTGTAATTGTATTCTAAATCATTCGCCAGCGTCGAGCCCCAGCGCGCGTCCGCCGTGAGCGCGCCTCCGCGTCCCCTCTGAATGCATTCGCTCACAGAGACCCACCCCACACCCCGACGAACGGGGTCGGTGCGATGCCGTCCGACGCGACGCGTCGCATCGCCGTCATCGGCGGCGGCGTCAGCGGTCTCAGCGCCGCCTACCTCTTATCTCGCCCGTCGATCCAATCGTCGACGTCATCACCGGGACAGAATGAAAAAGTGCAAAAAGCGCAAGTCGTACACGCGACCGATGCCGCGCGTGCGGTGACGTTATTCGAGTCCTGCGACGTCCTGGGTGGACACGCGTTGACGGTGCACTCACCCACGGCGAATGGAGAGGTCGATCTGGGATTTCAGGTGTTTAATTTAACGACGTATCCGCACCTGGTGGGGTTGTTCGGCGCGCTCGGCGTCGAGAGCGAGCGGAGCGACATGTCATTTTCGTGCTCGAGTGGTGATGTTGAGTGGGGGAGCATCGGGTTGAAAGGGGTGTTCGCGCAGAAGAAGAACGCGCGAAGCGCGAGGTTCTTGAAGATGATTCGAGAGATTTTGCGCTTTGGCAAGTCGGCGCCCGAGGTGTTGGACGAGAAGCGGGCGACGGAGTTCGAGGATGTCTCCCTGGGGGAGTATCTCGAGCGCAATCGGTACTCAACGTTTTTCAAAGACCATTACGTGGTTCCCATGTGCGCCGCGATATGGAGTTGCAGCGACGAGGATGCGATGGCGTTTCCAGTCAAGACGCTCGTGCGGTTCTGGGTGAACCATCATCTGCTCAATGTCATCGAACGGCCTCTCTGGCGAGTGGTCAAGGGACGATCGTCGGCTTACGTCGACGCGATAGAACGTGAACTCGATGACGTTCGTAAGGGGGCTTACGTCAAAGCTGTGAAGAGAACATCGAACGGGAAAAGCGTCATCGTGACGTACGCGCAAAAAGACGCGAAGGGCAAAACACGCGAGCACTCTGAGGTGTTTGACGATGTCGTCTTCGCCTGCCACAGCGACCAGGTTTTAACAATCATGGGTGAAAGTGCGTATAAGGACGAGATAGAGGCGCTGAGCGCTGTGAAGTACCAGGAAAACGAGGTTTACTTGCACACAGATGCGACGTTGATGCCGAGGAGTAGAGATGCCTGGGCGTCGTGGAACTGCCTTCGCGGCGATCGTCTCGACATTCCTGAGGAAGAGGCCAAAACTCGCAGCGTGTGTGTGACGTACTGGGTGAATCTGCTGCAAAATTTAGCGCCAGGGACGAAGGATCTATTCGTGACGCTCAATCCGCCGCGGCCGCCGCGCGAGGGCTCAGTCGAACACAAAGTCACCCTCGCGCACCCGCTCTTTAACAAGGCGGCGATCGCCGCGCAGACTCAGATTCAGGCGTTGCAAGGGAAGGATCGAGTGTGGTTCTGCGGTGCGTGGTGTGGTTACGGCTTCCACGAGGACGGCATCAAGTCGGCCGTGGATTGCTGCGATAAATTGCTTGGCAGGTCATCTGTGCCTTGGATTCCGAGACCATGCAATCCCAAGCTGTCCAGCACGACCAAGGCAGTTCTTCCGCTCTTCCAGCGCGCGTGCACTGGTTGGCTTCCCGCGAATAAGCGTTTGCGAATGATTCTCCCGGACGGAAGCGAGCGTATGATGTGCGGGAAGGACGCGGGCGACTCGTCTGAGACAATCACCATGACGGTTTTCAATCAACGCGTCTTCGTGCAGACTATTTTGCGAGCGGATATCGGTCTCGGGGAGTGTTATATGAACGGGGACTTCGACGCGGACTTAATCGGCCTCCTGGACACGGTGTGCAAAGGTCACCCCGGGGCCTCTGGCGTCGATACTTTGAGTTGCAAGCCGAAGATGCGTTTCGATCCCGTCGGACTCATCACTGAGGCAGTGAATTGGGTCGGAGCTAAAATGGAGATGGCGGCTCACAAGGCGCTCAGTAACACCAAGGAAGGTTCGCGGAAAAACATTGAGTATCACTACGACGCCGGTAACGACTTTTACAAGCTATGGTTGGATCGAACGATGCTGTACTCGAGCGCGATTCACGGAGACATCGACGACGCAAACATGTCGGTGGACGTCCTGGACAAGTTCGAAACCTTCGAGGCTCGAGAAAAGCACTTGGAAGCAGCACAGTACACAAAGATTGATGCCATCATCGATAGAGCGGACATTCAATCTGGGCATCGTGTTCTAGAAATTGGCTGTGGCTGGGGCACATGCGCTATTCGCATGGTGCAACGAAAGAAGTGCCACGTCACCGGATTAACACTTTCGCACGAGCAGCATGCCGAAGCGACCGCCCGAGTCAAGGCTGCTGGGTTATCGCATTTGATTGACATCGTCATATGCGATTATCGAGACGTTAAGGGAACGTTCGACAGAGTGGTTTCAATTGAGATGCTTGAGGCCGTGGGGCACGAGCACTTGCCCACGTACTTTAGCACGGTGCACAGGGTGTTGAAGCCGGGAGGTAAGGCCTCGATTCAGGTCATCACCATGCCAGACGGACGATATGACGCTTACTGCAATAGCGAGAGCGATTTCATTCGCGCTTACATCTTCCCGGGCGGTCACTTGCCGTCGGTTGCAGCGATGAGAGACGCGTCCCCGCGCGGCCTCGTGCTGTCCTCCTACGACGATATCGGTTTGCACTACGCCGTCACTTTGCGACTTTGGCGCGAACGCATGATGCATCATGCCGAGCGCATACTTTCGATGGGCTACACCAGAAAGTTCTTGCGCATGTTTGAATTTTACTTTGCCTACTGCGAGGCGGCGTTCGCGAACAAGTTGATTTACGACTTGCAGATGACTTGGACCAAGGTGAGCGAGGACGTGAATATCACAAAGGTGCAAAGAAGTTTCGCGATCAGACCGTACCTTCTCGATGCTGGCATCATTGGAGCCGGATGTGCGATTTACTATCAACACCAGCCGAAAACTGCAGCGGCGCTTGCAGACGCTGCGGCGCCTCTCATGGCCGCCTTCGTGGCCACCTTCGGTTTGGTGTGGATCTTAGCCATGATGGCGCTGACCGTTTTCCCGAAGTTTAAACTCGGGAAAAAGGTGAGCAAGGTTAAGTTGGATGAGGCGTCCACAGCGCACGGAACTCTCTCGAGTCGCGCGCTGGAGCTCTCGAGGCCGTTGATGAAGGCTATCGTCTCTGCGGCGATCGGCTCAGCGGCGTGCGCCTTCATCGCCGACGCGCCCGATATCACGCTGAAAAGCGCCTCATGGATGCTTCCGGTGGTTGAGAACCGGAAAACGAGGAAAGCAGCGAGTGATTTACTCATCAAGTATGCCGTGGTGTCCTTTGCACGCGGCGTCACTTCGATAGCCAGACGGAAGCGCCTCAGCATGATGAAGCACAGCGTCGAGCTCATGACTACGCTCTACGCCATCCACCACGACTTATTCGTCGTCGCCTTGGCTTGCTCACTCGTGATTGAAGTTCGGGTGTTTGCCACGCACTTCCGCGTCTTCGCCCGTGTCGCGAGTGGTTTTCCGCACTACGAGACGTTCGCCTACGCGGCGTCTCGCACACTCGCCACATTGGCGCTCTACGCCTTCCAGATCGCCCCCACTCTATTGGCCGGCAGAGCGCTCGCGCTGCACATCAATTCCGATGTCATCGATCCGAGCTCTGGCACTGGCATCGCCGTCAGCGTCGCCATCTGCGTCGCCGTCGCGAGCGCCGGTCGCGTGTACGTCCAGGACGTCCAGCACGCCGTCGCTGAGCGCAAAATCCGCGACCGCATCCTCTCCGTCGCCACGTCCGCCGACATCTAGTGTCGTCACCATTCGTAATAGCATTATTCATACGTATTTTTCATCGATAAAATCTCTGCGCAACGCGAATCCGACATTGGTTCTAATCCGTCCCGCGCGTCTCCGTCTAAGTAATCTTTGAATTCGTCCAAATCTTCACTGCACGACGCTCGCACGCGTCGACGCGTCGATACAGCCATGCCCCAAACCGACCCTCAACCTCACCCACCGCGTGTGGTCGGTCACTTAATCCTGGGCGAGCTCATAGGCGTCGGTGCGACGAGCTCGGTGTACAAGGCGGTGGATCAGCGGGACGGTCGCGTCAGCGCAGTCAAAGAGATCTCTTTAATCGGCGTCGATTCTCAGGACATGGAGCGAATCACGGCGGAATTAGAGTTGCTGAGTAATCTCGAGCACGCGAACGTGGTGAAGTACGAGGGGGCGAGGACGATCGGGGAGTCGTTGTACGTTGAGTTGGAATTCGCCGAGAACGGTTCGCTCGCGAGGACGGTACATCCGAGCAGGTTCGGTGGATTCCCAGAGAGTCTATGCGCGGTGTACGTGGCGCAGATTTTGAGGGGGTTGGCGTACTTGCATGGGCAAGGCGTTGTACATCGAGACATCAAGGGGGCAAACATTCTGACGACGAAGGAGGGCGTGGTGAAGCTGGCGGATTTTGGCGTCGCGACGAAAGGGTCTAGAGTTGGCGGTGGGGACGGGTTAGGACGTCGATTCGGTCTACTAAATGAAGCATCGCGTAAGATTGCGTCGATGGAGAACAGTGAGGAGGCGAATGCGGACGGTGAAGCGAAACCGAACGACGCGCTCGGGACGCCATATTGGATGGCGCCAGAGGTGATCGAGATGCGCAACGTTACCGCGGCCGCGGACGTGTGGAGCGTCGGGTGCACTATCATCGAGTTATTGACGAGTAATCCGCCGTATTACGATCTCGATCCGATGCCGGCGTTGTTTCGCATCGTTCGAGACAAGCATCCGCCGCTCCCGGCTGGCATCTCGGATGCATTGAGGGATTTCTTAATGCTTTGTTTCAAGAAGGATCCAAAGGATAGGCCCGCCGCGGAGGCATTGTTGAGTCATACCTGGCTCACGGACGAGCGGTCGCTGACGGAGCAGCCGAGAGAGGTGGGGGCGTTGATTGATCGCGTGGCGAATATCGGCGTCGAGGCATCGACAATGAAGCGTGCTTCGTCGAGCTCGGACGCGCTCAATCTGTTGGGAATAAGCACGTCGAACGGGATGACGAAGGAACAAATCGATCTGAACGAAACTATTGTCAGCGTCATGGATCGACTTCGGAGCGCGTTCGCGGATACTTCGTCGTCTGAGAACGTTGAGATGGCGGGCGCGGATTTTGTGCAACTCATGGATAGTTCGACGAGTTTCAACGTCACGAATGAAACGCTCTTCACGACACGCGCGAACTGTACATTCATGAACGTCATCAACGACGACGCAGCAGCGGAGACGACGCGAACGGTGGCGTTTGAGTGCGTCGCTGCGGCGAGCGCGGCGAGCAGAGATGTCTTAACATCCTTCGTTACTATGGGCGTCTTACCGAGAGCCTTGGAAGTTCTCAGGAGGGAAAACGCGAGCGCACGAGCGAAGATAGCGGCTTTGCGTTTGTGTCGAGTCACAGCGAAGGCTGGGCCGGTGTTCTCGCGATGTCTTGTTTCGTGCGGAGCGCTTCCAATTTTAGTTGGCGTCCTGGACGAAGGTTTCGGCGGTAGCGGTCGCGAGCTGACCAAGTACGCCCTGAGCGCGATTTACATCGCCGCGGAGATCGAGCGAGGCGATCAGATGCCGAGGCAACTAGGTCAGGCGATCTCACTCTCCTTGGCACAGGCGGGGCTGTTCCCAAAACTCGTCGCGCTCCTCGGCTCCACGCACACGGCGAGTCTCGAGGACGAAGCCAACCCAGAGGTAATGGACGATACGCGAAGCGAGGGTGGGTCATCCATGACGGGTTCAATCGGAGGCACAAGCACGCACAGCGTCTCGCGAGGTCTCTACTCGAGCGGTGGAAGATATTATCGCGAGCTCGTCGCCGAGACGCTGTATCGAGTGGCGAAACGCGGCGACGGGTGTCCCGAAGTTTCCAAGTCTCTCGTAGACGTTCGAATAATCCATGGGTGCTTGGCCCAACTCAGCGTCGTCCCGCGTTCGACGGCGACGAAACTTTTGGGCTTGGTACATCTCTTGTCGAAACAACCGGACTCGTTTGACGTGCTGCAACACTCCGGCGCAATTCCGAAACTCGTCAAGTGCGTCGAGGGGAATGTCAAGAGCGGACATGCGCAGTCGTGGGAGCTCGCGCTCAAGGCGTTACATAACTTGTGCGCGATGAACAAGGAGCGGCAGGAGCAAGCCGCCGTGGCGGGTTTGATACCGATCTTGGTAAAGATTGTTGCCGAGAGGAACGTCGCACATACGGTTCAACAATCGGCGATGAAGCTCGCCGTACCTTTGCTGTGTGACATGGCGTCGGCGAGTCGCAAAACGCGGGAGCTTCTCGAGAAACACGGAGCGCTGGACGCGTACGTCGAGCTAATTTCGGTGGAATCCGGTTGGACGCTCTCAGCGCTAAACGCCGTGGGCTCTTGGCTCGCCATCGAACCTTGGAAAGCGGAGGCTCGCTTTCTCGAACCTGACGCCATCAACTCCATCTTAGACGTCTTGGATGAGTCAACGTCTCAAGATAACATCATGCAGGCGCTTTTGAACCTGATTTCCACCTCCCCGCGGCTGTGTCAGGCGCTCGCAAACGAGCACTTCATCCCGCCGCTCATGGACGCCCTCACGACCGCCGCCACCAAGCCCACGACCAGGATCACGCTGCTCAAGATGCTCGGTGTCGTACACGAACACGCCCAGCGCCCAAAAGAGCTCATCATCCGCTACGACGTCGTCGCCAGGCTAAAGCGCCTCATCGAGGGCGTGACGGACGAACGCTCCAGCGGCGCCGTCGCCCAGCTCGTCGACAAAATCCTCCGCTCCATGCGCCTCACGCGCGTCGCTTGACCCGCCGTGTGAACCAATCAATTCATTTCTAGCCTCAATCCTCCGCGTCCAACGCTCGCGTCGACCACGTCCGTCGCCCGCGGTCGCGCGCGACGCGGCGGCGACCCACCGAATCAAAATCCAGCCAGTCACGACTCATCAAACAGTCCCTCCATCAAAACATCAAAACATCAAAACATCGCCACCCTCGGACCGAGACGTCACCGCGCGTTATCCTCGAGCACGCGCGCGCGCGCGCGGACGCAACGCCCTCGCTCGCGCGAGACGCGACCGCACCGACGACGATGATCGCCCGCGTCGCCTTACCGACGCGCGCGTCGCCGCGATGCGCGCGTGGAGAGGGAAAGATTGCGAGACACGCCGACGTCCAGCGACCGGGAATCTGTTTCGCGCGCGCGCGCGCGCGCGGTGCGGTCGTCGAGGCGTCCGACGGCGCGACGCAGCTCTATGACGTGACCGCGCACGAACAACTCGAGGGTGGGTTGAGAGGCGCGGCGTTGAACGCGAAGGCGAAGCAATTTCCGAGCATGCAGGAGGTGCTGCGAAACATCCCGAGCGAGTGCTTCGAGCGGGACACGTTGAAGAGCCTGGCGTACGCGGCGGTGTCGACGGCGATCACGGTCGGATGTGGGGCGCTGGCGTACGCGTTTTTGCCGCTCAAGGCGTCTTGGTGGCCGGCGTGGGTGGCGTACGCGTTCGTGACGGGGACGGCGGCCACTGGGTGTTGGGTCGCCGCGCACGAGTGCGGGCACGGCGCGTTCAGCGATAACAAGACGTTGCAAGATGCGGTTGGATACGTGTTGCACTCGTTGCTCTTGGTGCCGTACTTTTCTTGGCAGCGATCACACGCGGTGCATCACTCGAGGACGAATCACGTTCTTGAGGGCGAGACGCACGTGCCGGCGCGCTTGGGGACGGAAGACGCCAACGTCGTGTTCAAGCTTCGCGAATTGATCGGTGAAGGGCCGTTCACGTTTTTCAACCTCGTCGGCGTCTTCGCGCTCGGATGGCCGATTTACTTGCTCACCGGCGCGAGCGGCGGACCGGTGCGCGGTAACACGAACCACTTCTTACCCTTCATGGGCGAGAAAGGTAAGCACGCGCTGTTCCCGGGTAAGTGGGCGAAGAAGGTGTGGCAGTCTGACATCGGCGTTGTTGCCGTCCTGGGCGCGCTCGCGGCTTGGGCGGCGCACAGCGGGATTGCCACAGTGATGGCACTCTACGTCGGCCCGTACATGGTGACCAACTTTTGGCTCGTCTTGTACACGTGGTTACAGCACACCGACGTTGACGTGCCGCACTTCGAGGGCGACGATTGGAACTTGGTCAAGGGGGCATTCATGACGATCGATCGCCCGTACGGCCCAGTTTTTGATTTCTTGCACCACCGCATCGGCAGCACGCACGTCGCGCACCACATCAACCACACCATTCCGCATTACAAGGCTCAAATGGCGACGGATGCGCTAAAGGAGGCGTATCCCGACCTCTACCTTTACGATCCAACTCCGATCGCGACCGCTACGTGGCGCGTGGGGAGCAAGTGCATCGCCGTCGTGAAGAAGGGAGACGAATGGGTGTTCACGGATAAGCAACTCCCGGTCGCGGCGTGATTCTCGAGACGCCACCGCGAGCGTTACACTGTAGTTAGATTTTAATAAGAACGTGTTATCATGTGTGCGTGAAGTCGTGATGAATCGTTCGTCAGTGAGTGCATCATTTCCTCAATTCTTTCGTTAAATATTATGAGAGTAATGTATTCCAGTGAGAGCGCCGCATCGCGGAGTCACGTCACGTGTGATTTTCTGGAAAAACTTGGCGGCGCTTTCGACGCACTTTTGCGACTCGAGAATCTTGAATCATCTATGCGACGACGAGCGGCGGAAGCTGAGACGCGGTGAGGGAGGCCTTCTTGCCGCCCTTCTTGGCGGTCTTGGTGTCAACCTTCTTCGCCTCGGCGCGCTTGTTGAGCTCCTCCTCGATGCCCTTCCAGGCGACGGAGAACACCATCGCCTGCAAGACGTTAGTGACGATGCGCGTTTGCAAGCCTCGGCCGAAGAGACCGGCCATGCCGTCCTTGGCGATGACACCCTTGACGGCTTGGATGTAGCCCATGTTGGCGTCGCCGGAGGTTTGCTTGACAGTCTTCACGACGCGAAGAGAGTTGGAGATGCAATCGCTCACGATGGACGAGCACATACCGATCACGGCGTTGCGCACGTTGTTGCCCATCTTCGTATCCTGCTTCGGGATCGTCTTCTGCAGGTAGTTGAAGGTGGCGAACCACGGATAGTTGCCGACCCAGTTAGCCGCGAAATTCGCCGCCGCGCCGTTGTACAGCACGCCGACGCCGCCGGCGCGAACCTTATCCTTCAACAACGCGAAAGCGGCGTTACCCTGCACTTGCAGCGTCGTCTTGAACGTGTCCACGGGCGTCAAGAAGATTCTCCACGTCGCACCGCCGACGGAGGCGAAACCGGTCGCCACGCTCACCGGCATGTTCGGATAGTACGCCTCGAGCGCCGCCAAAACCCCGGTGTTCATCGCCGTGTCCCCGAATCGCGACAGCGGCGCCTGCACGATCGCAAAGGAGACCCCCTTATACAACCTCGGCACGCCGCCTTCCTTATACAGCGCTTTAATGCTCCCGAGCATGTTTCCGCCGTTCGCGTATTGATAATTCATCGCCGTGCGCATCCACATGAATGACCCAACCTGAATCACCCCAGCCGCGAACCCGGCGACGCCGCCTCGGAACGCCCGCGCGGATGCCTTCTTCATCACCTCTCCAAAGTCCACCCGCGGCGTCGTCGCCGTCGTCGTCTTACCCGCGCTCAATTCCGGGAGCGCGCGATTCGATCGTCGTCGAATCTCCGTCGACGCCCCAACCTCGGGCATCACGCGCGTCGTCTTCGCGCGCGCGGTGCGCTCACGGATCTTTGCCTCGACCATCGCGCGCGCGGGCGAGGGCGAGGCGTCGCGCGCGGGGGTGTGCGCGCGTGGACGATCGCGTCCTCTCGCGTCGCTCCGCGTGTCCGGCCAGAGGACACGTGGCATCGCGAGACATTTGGGTGATTCGCGCGCGAAGTACGCGCGACGGCGACGCGCGAGCGCGCACGTCACATCGTGAGACGTGTACGGGTGATTCGTGTGCGAAGTACGCGTGACGGCGACGCGCGAGCGCGCACGTGGCATCGTGGGACATTTCGGTGCGTCGTCGACGGCGATGGGCCAAAGATTCACACGGCGCGCCGCGGCGCGGGCGCGGGCTTAGGAGACATCGAGCGTCTCGTAAAGGGCGAGCCACTGAGGGCTGAGGTGCTTGCCGAAAGGCACGGCCCACTTGGGTAAGGCGACGTCGATCTTGGCGATCGACGGGGTGCGAGCCGTGTAATCCGCGCGCAATCGCACGGCTTCTGAACACGAAGAATTTGTTGACGCGCGCGGTTGATACCAGAGCGTGAATTTTGTTCGGGCGGAAGAATCGCCCCCGACGCCGTTCAAAATCACTCGCGTCGCACGTCCGCGCTCGTACGGGTCGATGACTACCCAATCCTCATCTGTCGGTGCGTCAATCTCGACGGATAAGACGGCGACGCGCTCGACGCAGCGTTTGTCTGCGGAGACGGACCATCTACGACCGTCGCCAACGGATATCTCAACGCGTCGTGAACGACCGACGCTTCGAACCTCGCCGAAAGAGGGTGGTATCGAGCCCGTTACCACCATTTCATCGTACAAATTGTTTCCGGAGACGACGCAAGCGCCGCGAGCGATAGCCGTGGAGATATCAAACGTTGCGTTGGCCGAACACTCCATCGAGAGCGAATCGAGGACAGTTGGATTTTCCCTGAGCACCGACTCGACGCCTCGCAGCGTGGACGCACCAGCGCGAGCGATGACAATGTGTGCGCTTTGTGATGACGCTCTCACGATGTGCGTCAGGACCAACGGTTGCGGCGCAAGCGTGGTCCACTGCGCGCCAGCGCCGCGCATGAAAGAGAGCGTGTACACGAGTGCGCACGCGAGCACTCCGCCGGCGAATTTTACCGCGCGAAGCCACTGATGAGGATCATCCTTCGATGTCACCAAACTCGGTGCGAATAGACTGGTCGTCATGGCGGTAAAGCCTCCGATAACAGCGCCGGCGATACCGTCGTAGAGATATATTGCTTCGTCATCCACCGGCACTCGCGAGCCGACGCCCTGGAGCACGCGAAGCAACAACAGAGCGCTCGGGGACGTGATCCACAGCGGCGCGGCGATGGAAAGAGCGATCTTCGTCCCTGAAGGTGGCGAAGGCATATCATAATCTCGCGAACGGGCGCCGAACCACGTTAACAACGCGGGAGCAATAGCAATGGATGTTGGAAACACGAGCCAGAGAAGCGGCGCGTATGAAGAGCCGATGCCCGCGCGCGTAGTCTGCGACGCGGCGAGGCCCCATACCACGACTTGTCCGATGAGTAAGGACCACTCGGTGATCCGCCACGCCTGATCACTGAGTTTCATCTTCTCAGAAAGTGGTACCAGCGCAAATGTGAGCTTTGCGGTGAATTTCTGTGTGACGATAAAGGCGATGAACGAGGCGGAGCCGGAAAGGGCGATAAGGCCTAGCGGGCGAGAAATGTAAAGGTTCGGCTCAGCAGATGTGTACGCGCATATCACTGGCGCGGCGGCGGCGACGAAGACGGCGGTAATCCACGCGAGCGCGCTCCCGAGTAACACGAGAGGAGTGGTGACCAATGCGCGGAATGTGTTCTCCATGTGCGCCACCGTCTCCTCCGCCGAGAGCGTTCTGGACGTGAAAAACTCTCCCACGTGCGTTCGATAGATGATTGTCGCGAGCGTCAAGAGAGGTACGGCGAGGAAAACAACGTGTGAATCCACTCTTGGTGAGTCGTGGGTGACCATGCCGTAGCCCGGAATGGTGTACCAAGACATCGGCCGCGCCGCTCGCTCGTCGTTTGTCTCGCTCTCAAAACCGCCGTGTGCGACGATGTACGCCATGAACTCGAGTATATTTTCACCCGAGTGTTGCAATGACCCCGGTCGCATGTACTTGACTCGGTCTCTCGGCGTGTGATATACTGATGTGCGCTCAACGAAGGCGAAATCGAGGATTGCCGGCACGTCGCCGTATCGTCGAAAAATTGCGAAATCTGTCCCACTGTTGATGACCCCGCTGTTGAATATGTCTTCTGAAAGTACTGTCCCAATCGCTCGCGGCGCATGGCGCGCCCAGGCCCTGAGCGCTCGTCTTGCGATGTCGCTGTCCGCCCGCGCCTGAAAAAGGCGATGCGGCCCGCCGGCGCCCATGGACTCTAAATTCAAAACAAGCTGCACCCGCACTTTTGCGTCGCTAAACCACTCGTGCGTCCGAACGAGTCCATGCGCCCCTGCTAAACCCTCCTCTTCGGCGGTGCTAAACATCACGATCACCGCCGCGCACCGACGAGCCTCGACATCGCACATCGCGTCTCCGCCGACTCGAGCGAGGCGCTGCGCCAACGCGCGCGTCGTCTCCAACGCCGTCGCAACGTTGGCACCATTATCGCTCCCGCCCACACTTGCGTGCACCGTGTCTATATGCACGCTCAAGACAACCGCGTGCTCCTCCCAACCCTCTCTCTGCGCCCGAGCGCTCCTGATCCTTGCGCCGAGGCTCGCGATGCCGCCGTACGTCGTCCGCCACGACCCCCCAGCAAATCCGTCGTGTGTCCGCCGTGCCCGCTCCACCGTCGTCGCGTTCGACAAACTCACCGGCCGTAATGCATCCGTCAACGTCGTGTCGACGTACGCGAACGCCGACCACTCAGACGGCGTCCCGGTCGCCCGCGCGCCGCCGGATTCCAGCGTCCGCGCGTGCACCCGCGCTCTGCGCTCCGCGAACGCCTCTCTGTGATCGCTCACCGCGCTCGAGCGCACCGGCGTCATCCGATCGATCAAGACCGAAAGCACGCACGTCACGAACACGATAAACGCCGACGAAGACGCCAACCGCGTCGTCGTCGCGCGAATGAAGGAGTACGAAGCATTTTTTGTTTCGTTCGAATCATTCCCTCGACCCCCCGACGCGCTCGCGCTCGCGCTCACGTCGTCGTTCGAGCTCGCGCGATTCGCGTCCGACATGCCGTCCCGGTCGCGAATTCCAGTCGAACGATCCGCGAGCGGGCGGGCGCGGCGACGAAGCGCGCGAGTGTTGTCGAATTTTGAAATTTCTTCTATTTAAAGCCCCATCCAGAGATACGAACCGTCACTCGGTTTTCGCCTCGAATGACGCGCTTCGCGAGCGAGGACGCGGAGGACGCGGAGGATGCGGAGGACGCGGATTGGTTCCTCACCGCGATCGCGTCGTCGTCGTCCGCGCGCGCGGCGCCGACGGTGGACGACGCGCGGGCGATCGCGCGGGCGGCGAGAGGGGCGACGCGGGCGAGCAAGGCGCTGGAGGCGCGCGCGCAGGGCGTCGTCGCGGCGGCGCTCGTGGCGAAACGTCGGGAGCGCGACGCGCGGTTCGAGCTGTGTGAGCGTCGTGAGCGCGATCTGCGCTCGATGCAGGAACGAATACGCGCCGATGTCGGACGGTTCGAGGCGTTCGTGCGAGAGAACGAGGTCAAGCGCGTATCCGCGCTGCGGAGGGAGAGAGAAGAGGCGCGGGCGAACGAGCTCAGGGATGAGCGATTGCGTGAGATGCGATCGGAGTCTAAGTCTAGGGCGGAGGCGTCGCGTGCGCTGGACAAAGACGTCGAACGAGCGCGCGTGTTCGAGACGTTTCTCGCGCGTGTCGCTACGGCGGCGACGAACGGTGACGCGTTTGAGGACATCGCCGACGTCCTCGGTCGGCACGACACGCTGAGACGGACGCGGGATAGTCTTCGAGCGAGCGTAGACGAGTCGCACTCGCGCGTGGAGTGTACCCGCGCGGCGCATGAACGAACGATAAAACACATGGAGGAAGAGCGTTTGATGGCCACCGCGTCCATCGCTCGACTGCGTCAACGCGACGAAGATCTCCGGCGGGAGAACGGTCGACTACGACAGGAGATGGCGTACAGATCGCGGTCGACGGCGGACCGAACGCGCATACTCGCAGAGGCGAAGATGGCGGTGCGAAATCTAGTTCGCCGGTGCGCAACAAACGACCCCGCGCCCGCGCATGACAGACGCGAACTCGATTTCGTCGAAGAGCGCGCTCGCGTGCTTCGGCAGATCGCTGGAAGTAACGTGTGCGCCAGTGTCAAATCGTAAACTACCGGTAACACTAGATTTCAAAGTTCACTAGATCGATCCCGTTTCGTCTTGGGATGCCATTTTCGTCGAGAACTGGAAAACGGGCGCTCCATCGCAGCGTTCGGTTGCGGCGCCCGACGGCAAGCGCGTTCACAGCGCAACAAACGATCGTTGGGTAATCGATCGTTAACGCGCTCGAATCTTTCCCGAGCACTGTGCCGGCGTCGACGTTCAGCAAGAGCTTCTGTGCAACGTCTCCAAGTACTCGCGCTTCCACCACGCGTTCATCGTCGTCGTCTCCACTCTGCAGACCAAGCGTGATCTCGCGCCAGGTGAACACTCCCCGACCACTCTCGTCACAATGACACAATTTGTACACACCGTTCGTGTCGGCGTTGAGCTCTCGAGAACACGCGTCGCACGCGAAGCAAGTCATTCTGGGCACGTCAGATGCGACGAGCGCGGGAGGTACACGTCTCCTCGTGTTTGCACCGTCGGCGCACACTTCCAACCACTTTACTGTTGCATCGAAGACAATAATCAACGAAGAAACGTTGCCAAGGGTAAATTCTCCACGCATCGCACTCGCCAAATCACTGAACGGGAGCTCGCGAGAAAACTCTGATTCCGGCACCCGAGCGATGACCTCCGCTCTGCGAGAATCGTCTTCACCGAGCGTGCGCCAAGTCGATCTTCTCGCGTCGCACACCAGCTCACACGTCCCGGTATTCGCGTTCCATCGTACAATGGCGTTCCGGACGTCCAAAACATCCCCAACGATCGACGCTCTGGCGCGTTCCGTCGCGTCCTTCGCTGGAGGAAGATGAATCCGTGTCTCACGTCCGCCTTTCGTCTGCCTCGCCCAAACCACTCTGCGCGCGTACTGTTCTCCATCACTCTCATCATCTCCAAAGCTTAGTCGCCCCTCTGGTCTCCACGACGACCTACGCACCTCCTCTCGTGTCACCCTACCCAAAAAGTGTAACCGCGTTCGCTCTCTCGGATCCAATCGCTCTGAATCCGTGTACGTCGCTGATCCAAAGCTCTCTCTTCTGTTCACCTCCCTTCGCTCCGTCGCCACGCGCACGAGCTCGATCAACCCTTTCGATTTTACCGCGCGCACAGTTCGCATCAACGCCATCGCGTTATCCACTCTCGCGTCGCCGAACCATCCGCCGCGGTCGCGCTCTCGCGCGCGCTTCAACGCCGCCCCCAAGAGTCCGCCACCACTGATCACCTCCTCCGCCGTGGCCGCTCGTCGAACCGTCGACTCCGATTGTACCGAAACCGTCTTCGCGCGCTCGCCCGTCACGCACCTCGCGCACGAGACGTAGTACACGTCGCCTACGCGCCAATCGATGTCAACGTGGTGATCCCGAGCGATCAAAACGAATCTTTGTGCACCGCTCGCGTTTCCGTCGACGACGCTCAAGGCGACGCGTCGACGGACGACGTTGTGACGCACGTCGTACCAGTCGTTCAGTTTACGCGCGTTCAACACTAAGACGTACGCGGAGCGATCGACGACGACGACGGACATGCGTCGATCAGTGAGGTGGTGCCTGGTTTTAGTGCTAAACAAACCGGGCACGAGCGCTATCAACGGTACGTCGCGCCCCACGGGGTGACGCAGAGCGGACAGGACGATTTCGAGCTCGAACGGAACCAGGTGTAGAGACACGTGGCGTGGAACGTGTTTGAGCACTGTCGACAGGACATGCGTGGCTTCTGGTGGTCCACGGGGTGGAGGACGGCGTAGCAGATCGGGCACGGTTCGACGCCGGCAAACTCTGCGTCGATGTTGCGCTGCCATTGGAGTAAGCCTTGGGCGACGGCGCCGTTTTGGTGCTTGAGTATGGCGGAGATACCGAGCATCCACTTGCGTAGGCGGGCCTCGGAGACACCCACGCGCTCGGCACACACGAGCTCGGCGGGGGCGAGGGGGTAGGAATTCGGGAGCTTTACGGCGAGCTGAAGAGACGACTCGTCAATTTCGTACGTCGTCAACACCTCTCGCGTGTTCACCGAAGGTTTCACCGTGAGCGACCCGGAGCCATCGGAGGTGAAGGTCATCGCGGATACGGCTCGGAATTCGTCCGCAATGAGCGCTGGAGACACCGTTGCCGCCGTGGCGGCTTCGAGAAGCTTTGCATCTCGCTGCGGTTTCATGTCGCTCACAAAGGTTCGAACGCTCGCCGGTAGCGCGTGTAGGGTAGCGCCATAAATGAGCACCTCGAGCGAGAGTCTCGGGTCGAATATTTGAGTTGGCGACGTGGGATCACTCCAGTCGATCCCTCGCCAAGCCAAAGGGGCGTCTGATTCGCTTTCAATATCCATAGACTCCGGAAGCGGCATCGACTGTGTGATGTCTCGCATGAGCGTCGCCACCGCCTTCGTCTCGCGCGTGTAGTTCACCAAACGCTCTCTGCAAGACGAACCTATCGATAGTGAGAGAATGTAGCGAAGTAGCAGGGCCCAACCGAGGAGCACGACGGTGTGCGGTGCGTCGACCTCACCGGATAAAAGCGCCGCCAAATCTTCTCGCAATCCAGCGCTCACCGCTGGAGTCCCAAAATTCTCGACCGATGCGTTTTCATTTTCATCCACCGCTGCAAGCGCGGCATCGAGAGCGCTCTCAACTTTGGCGACATCGGAGATGCTCGCATCGATGCCGACCACCGCCGACTGCATGAGCGTCTTGCTCGCAAGCATACCATATGCCGCGCGACGCAGTGCCTCGGTAGCCTCGTCGTCTCTAGTGACGCCATTCGCAGTTAGTAATCGATACAGAGCCGATATGGTCTCGCAAGAAGCGTCGTGGTTGTCTACGGCAAGACCTGCGTGTAATGCGCTCAAATTCGTCGGAGCATTTGCGCATGCCAGCTGAGCCACGCGCGTCCACATGAGCGTCTCGCTGCAGCATCGCGCCCAAAACGCGGCGCGTCGTTCTTCATCCTCATCCTCACAGATATCGTGAAGCTCAGTGCCAGCTAGGATGACGCATCGGTATAATCGTTCAATTATGTCCGCTCGCTCGCGAGGCCAACCGGCGTGCGCGAGTGCTTTGGCGACTGTCATAGCCGCAGCTCCGTGAGAGGCGTATGGCACGAGGTCACCTGACGACGGCTTGTCTTTCGGTTCGAGCAGCTCCATCGGTAGCGAGTCGATGAGACATATGACCATCGCGGCGTCGCTCAAAGCACGTGATCCGTCGTCGCCGTCCACGGCATCACCGTCGGCATAGACTTCCGCGCTCTTCACCCTTCGAGCCGTCCACGCATCGAGTCGCCCAACGACGGCACCCCAATCTCTAGATTCGAAACTCGACGCAGTGCGTCGAATGATGGCCGCTGTGAGCGCAGCTATTCCGGCCTCCGCATTGCTAGTGCGTGTTTCAGCAGAGGTACCGGATCTGTCGCCGCCGAAACGAGCCGCGGCGGCGCTAGCCGCGGCCTCGGCCGCCTCACGCGTTGCGATTGCACGATACACCTCCATGAGTGGTGCGCACGCTTCGTCTTGAAGTGAATGTACGAAGCTCGATCCATCTACGTCATCGTGACGACTGAAACACGCAGCGATGAGCTCGAACCGCGTGCCATCGAGCGGCCGACGACGATTCTCGACTCCTACGATTGTATCGCGAACAAGTTCAGAGATGAACTGCCCAGCATGTTCACCACCTGACATGTCCGAAGGAAGCAGCCACGGGAGAAGGCGCGTAAGCCGACGCGAACGCTCATCAATCGATGGTTTAGATGTGCTCACAAAGTACCGCACGACTTCGTATTGACTGTCGATCCATGCCGCGTCGACGTCCCGTAATGTGCGTAAAAAATTCAGCAGCGCGTCCTCCACGGATTCATCCTCTGAAGGTGCGGCGACCATGGCGTCGATGAGTGACGAGAACGTGACGTTTCTGAGCTTCTTGTCTCCGCAAATCGCGGCAGTGAAAACTTTATTTTCACTGGAGGGCAATGACAAGGCGTCAATGGTGAAAGTGATGCGGTCGTCGGCGTGCATTGCGGCGAGCAAAGATGTCCAACCAATTTCCCGCGCGACGGCGTCAAGCCAGTAAAAGTTCACTTCGTCGTCCACGCTCTCGGTGATCTCGTCCACGAAACACTTCGCGCTCACATCGTCGCTTAGTTTGAATGATCGAAGCGCGTGGATGCTGATCTGTGCCCATAATCTGAACACTAATTCCGACTCACCCAGATGCTGCGTTCGCGCCATCGCCGCCGCCGCTTGCACAATGGCCATCGCCAGTGAGTTCCTCGCGTCGTATGAAAGCTCCGCAATTCGTTGAGTGTCACGTTCGATTGAACGCCACTCACGCTGAGTCTCGCCTAGATGTTTTTCCACGTACTCCACCTCGTGCTCACTATCGCTTTCGTTTGCGGCTTCGTGAATGACGCACTCAACGTTCAGTTGACTCTCCAAGAGCACATCAGCGAACATCACTCCTATCGCGACGGACCAAGATGCGGTGACTTCGGCATCCGTTGGCGGTGGCCAGATCCACGAACGCAGCGCTTTACGGCCAGGTCCTTCTCTTTCGCCGGATGAGAGACTTTCGAATACGTCGCGAGATGCACTCGCCGAAACTATCGAGCCAGCTTCCGCCACGGCGATCAATAAGTTTGAACACGATTCCAAACTCGACTGAGACGCGCATCGACGAACGATGTCATCCATTGCGTCACACTTCAAACTCGAGGCGTTTTTTGTCGCTCGAACCGTGTCAGTGAGAACGACGACGCTCGAGAAATCTTCTGAGCTAGCCCGCATCGTGCGGCCAAGCACGGTATCCCACAAGCCAGCTTCGTGCTTGAGCACGGCGGCGATGACCGCCCCGGCGTTCGGCGGCGCGGGCGCGCGAAGGCATAAATCCATCAAGTTTTGTGCGCCGTTGAACGGAGCAACACCGAGACTTTCGACGAGATCCGCCAATCTTTGCATCGTTTGCGTTGACGGCGACGTCTTCGCTTGCTCTAACACCGCTCTCGCAAATGGCGCTGTGGCTTCGGCGAACGCGGTGACTTTCCCGGACGTGCACAATCGTGCGTACATCGCACTCGCGTGTTCACCTTGCTCGGGATCGTTTAGTGCGTCTTCGGTGATGTCACTCAGCTTTGCCCAGGCCTCGATGACGGCGCTCTTCGCGTGCGGCTTGGATCCCAAAATGTTCAACGCGTCGCACATCAAATCGAGCGCCATCGCGTCGCCGCGCGCTAAAAATTCTCGCATCCATATACCGACGACGCGATCGACCAATACGCGCGTCGCGCACTCCTCGGCGTGATCTGTCGTGGGTGCGAGTTTCAACACCCCGTACAAGACGCCCTCACGCATCGCGGGCAAAGTTTCCCGCGCCTCGTTCGAGCGCACGGCGCTCGCACTAAGAAGACTCCAACCGGTGAAGACGGCGTCTAAGATACCGACGAGCCCACCCATTGCTGCGCCCTCGGCGTCGCGAGAGCTCAACGATTTCGGAGGCATGTGTGCTAACAGAGGGAGCAATGACGGCGCTGAGACGCCCGCGGCTCCGTAGCTCCCGCGCTTGAAGTGCTTACGCAGAGCGTGCATGAAATCTTTCTCAATATCGATTGCGTCCCACGCGTCGGGCGTTGACGTGATGAGACATAAAATGAGTTCCCACATATCTCGAATCGCCCCGGGCTCTGTCTCGGACGTCAAGAGGTCGAAGCTGGTCGAGGCAACCTTCGGCATTTGACCGCGAAGCACGTCTCGCCACGCCGGCGTGAGAGCGTTGTCCGCCGACTTTTTCGATATCACAGCGAGCGTGACGTACGCATCGCGACGAATGGACGAAAATTCACCCTTAATCTGCGTCTTGAAGCACGACAGTTCGTCCAAGAGCGCGCCAAATTTCTTCGCAGCGCCATCGCTGTCGTCGCCCTGGAACGTGCACAAGCGTTCGCACACAAACCTCACCGCACCGAGCGCCGAGCGAGAGCTGAGCTCGAACCGCGCGTGCCGCTCTGTCTCTGTCCCATCCTTGAAAACCATATCCTGCGGCCCTCGACGCTTGAGGCAATCGATCAAATCACTCATAATCGCATCGTGCGCTCGCGCGAGCGCCATCGCCCGCCGCTCTTCGCTCGTAAACGTTTTCTCAAACCCCTCTCTCGCGACCTCCGCGACTTCGCTCGCGGGATCGCACATCGCCTTTACCCAAGCACCCATCAACGGCGTCGTCTTCAACAGCCTTCCCAACGACTTCCCGCACGCCACCGCTAACTTTCCGCTCAGCGCGCTCGCGTCTCTTCGACACCCAACGTCGCCGTCGCCAACCAATCGATCAAACGCCCGACTCCACGGTCGCGCGATCGCCGTCAGCGCCTCCGCTGATTTTCTCGCCTCCCCGTTCGAATCAAAAAGCGCGTCGCCGAGCTCGCGTAACGCTTTCATCTTTGTCGCCGTCGACGACTTTTGCGCGCACCGTCGAAGCGCGCTCGCGACGTCGTCGTCCAAAATCTCCTCCGCGCTGCCGTGTTCGTCTCGAAGCGACGAAGAACCGGCGTAGCCACCGAACCCAAACCTGTGCGTGCGAACGATGCGAGGTGAACGGCGTCAGTGTCGGAGCGACGGACGAGAGTTGGAAGTTGAGGTTTCATCGAACTGATTTCGATTGAACGCGTTTCGCGCTCGTTCGTGAAGATAGCTTCGTCGAAAGACGCGTACCCCGGGAGGCCGATCGCCGTAGAGGCGCCAACCGCGCGAGAGGCGCGATCGCGCGACGCGGCGGTGCGTGGGGTCGGCATGCGCGTCGAGGAGTGCGGCGCGTGGCGTCGGCGGCGACGTCTACGTCCTACGCGGCTGTGCTACTGCTATTAAGAATCGCTACGTCTACGTGAATGCACATTACGCTTGTTTTCGCGCGCGCCGATGGAGGCGCGATCGCCGAGCTTCGGGTCGCACGTGATCGGGGTCTCGCCGCGGAGCGACGCGTCGGCGTTTCTCGATTTCATCTTGAGCTCGATGTCAGCGAGTTTCCATCCGTCGCCCCACTTCTTTCTGAGCCTGCGAAAGAGGACTGTTGAGGGAATGTTCGGGGCGGTTTTCAGGCTCTGGATCTTTCCGTAGTCATAGAGCTTGAAATCAGAGCCGTAGACGGCGTTGAAGCTCGTCAACACGTCGTCGTCCATGCGTTCCCAGCACGGACGCAAATCCGGCTTCCTCGCGTGCGACGTCCACTGATTCTCGTGCACGAGTGTCACTTCAGGGTTATAGCGATCGCGCATGTACTTGACGATGTTCGCGTGCGTCCCGCCTCCGCGCGAGCTCACCTTGGGGCACACGTCTGGATTTTCACCGAAACACAGCTCCATTTTGTGAACCGTCTCCGCGCGAGACGCCATGAGAGCCTGCGGATACCAGTGTGACTCCGCCGTCACGCCCGCGTCGGGAAGTTTCTCATCGCACTGTTTCTGATGCGCCATATCGTAATCCCCCTCGGCGTAGCACTGAAGCAAGACGCTCTTCGACGGCGCCGAAATCTTCGTCCGCACAAAGTCTTGAAACGCTTCGCAGTTCTCCGCCGCGTACCCCGTGCGCAGGTCGTAAAACTTTTGCTCCTCGTACATCGCCGTCTCGTACAAAAACTCACTCTGCGCCCGCTCGTACGGATCTCGCACGATCGTCCACGAATTTCGCACGTAATCTCTCGGCACGCAGTGCCACGCTTCCCACCCGCTCATCCTCGGGTGCGTCTCGTACGGCATCGGACGGTCGTACACCTTATCGAAACACATCCCCACCCCGATCCCCACCCGTCCCAACGACCCCTCGATCGTGCTCCCTCCCGTCTTCGGGATGTGCAGATAAATCGGGTACCCGTCGCCCGGCGCCCGGGCGTCGCCCGCCGCGCCCGTCGACGCCGCCGTCGACGCGTTCACGTCCTTCGCGCCCATCCAATTCGTCTCCCGAGGCGTTCGCGGCCTCACGCGCGCGAAGACGAACGCGCACGCGCCCACGGAGGCGACGCCGAGCGCTCGGGCGATCCAACGGCGGGTTTCTCGCGCGTCGACGCGGCCGCTGGGTGTTGAGCGCGATGGCAGCGAATCCGTCGCTCGCGCCGCCTCGACGTCCGAGCGATCGCGCGCGAGGAGCGGGGCGCGCGCCGGGACGTCGGGATCCATCGCGCGCGCGCGTAGGGGCGCGGTGCCGTCGCGGGCCGTCGCGCGCGGCGTGATGTGATGGGATGGGATGTGATGTGCGGGATGTCACGAGTGGGGACTCGTGAAAGAGTCCCGCAGACGTGGTCCAACGCCACACGGCGGCGTCGACGGCGGCGCGCGACGCCGGGCGCGCGGTCGAGGGCTCGAATGCGCCGGGCGCGCGCGGGATGTGATCTCGCACCCGCGCGCGGGCGCGCGGGCGCGGGCGCGCGCGGGCGACGGCGACGATGTGGTGTCCCGCGCGCGACGTCACCGAAAACGTTGGACGACGCGCGCGCGCGCTACGGCGTCCAGGAGCGCTATTACGAGTGGGAGGGACACGTGATACGATACACCACGTCCGGGACGACGGGTGAACCGCTCGTCTTGATCCACGGGTTCGGTGGGAACGCGGACCACTGGCGGAGGAACGTGAACGCGCTCGGCGAGCGAAGACGGGTGTACGCGATTGATTTATTGGGGTACGGATACAGCTCTAAGCCGAATCCGATGGCGGAGGGGTTGAAGCAGAATGAGATTTATTGCTTTGAGACGTGGGGGCGGCAGATTTTGCACTTTGTGGATGAAATCGTGGGCGAGCCGGCGTTCGTGGCGTGTAACTCCGTCGGCGGCGTCGCGGGTCTGCAAGCGGCGGTGGACGCGCCGGAGAAGGTGCGAGGGGTTGTTTTGATGAATATCTCGCTCAGAGGTTTGCACATCACGAAACAACCGGCGATCATACGGCCGTTCGTGAAGGCGCTGCAGACGACGCTGAGAGAGACGTCCATCGGAAAGTCGTTCTTCGCGAGCGTCGCGAAGGAGCGAACGGTGAAAAACATTTTAAAGGAGGCGTACGGGGATTCCTCTCAGGTTACGGATGAACTCGTGGAGGCGATCTTGTCCCCGGGTCTGCGTGACGGTGCCGCGGAGGTGTTTTTGGATTTCATCTCGTACAGCGGCGGGCCGCTCCCCGAGGAACTCCTTCCCAAGTGCAAGGTCCCGGTTCGCATGCTCTGGGGCGACAAGGATCCGTGGGAGAACATCGATCAGGGTCGAAAGCTGTACGCATCGTACGCGGATAAATTCATTCCGCTTCCCGGCGTCGGGCACTGCCCTCAGGACGAGGCGCCCGAACTCGTGAACGGCCTCCTCAACGAGTTCGTCGACGAGTACGCGTCCGCGCCCGCGTAATGATTTCGATTTTAGCACCGCATTTTTTAGGTATCGCGTGTAATCGCGAACGCGCATCGCATTCGCACGAGTTCGCAAGTTTGTCCAAAGTCATTGGGTTCAGAAAAGTTCAATTTGCGGATGTTTTCCTCACCGGCCGCCCGAGAGCGACCGCCTCAGTGGAAAGAAGACCAGTTGAAAAAAATTTCATCCCCACCCACGACTTTGGACGAAACGTTCGGCGTGCACACGTATGACTCCCGAGTCGCGTCGATGATCCATTACAAGCGAAAAACTCGCGCGCGTGAAACTGCGAAACGAACTCGGATCGAAATCCAGCTTCGCACGACGGCGTCGCGCGGTACTTTACGCCTCCGCCTGATCCTTCACGATATCGGAGTCACCCGGGTCCGTGATGGACAGGCACGACACGCGGTAGTATCGACCGCACGCCGTTCCCAAGTCGACGTTGTCTGCGAACGAAACAACACGAAACATCCATCCGTCAGTCGCGCGTCGTCATCAACCACTCTAGGGTTTTCACCCCACACCCGACGCGTCCCCACGCGCGTTCTCCGCGTCGTCGACACGTACTTCCGGCGTAGTGATGCACCCCCGTCTTGGCCAACATCGCGTAGTACTCGATCTCGCTCTTTCGCAGCGCCGGGCAGTTGTTCGCGATCAACACCAACTTGCTCGCCCCCTTGCGCAAGGTTTTCAGCGTCGACTTGTACCCGAGCGTGTACCGACCCGATCGCATGACGATCGTGAGCCGAGAGTTGATGCCCTCGGCCGCCTTCTTCGAGCCTTGTTTCGGGGCCATTTTTTTTCTTCCACGCGCGCCTTCTTAAGTGCGTCTCGATGCGCACCGCGTGAGCGTGTGCGGGGCGCGCGTGGGCCGCCGTCCCGTCGCCATTCGCGCGGGCGTCGGGGCGGGGGGGTCGGTTGTGAGTCACGACGCGTCGTGACTCACAAACATCGATGGAGTCCCCATGCGCACGCGTCGTGACTCAGAAACATCCACGGCGTCCCTATGCTGACGCGTCGTGACTCAGAAACATCCACGGAGTCCCTATGCTCACGAGTCGTGACCCATCGCGGACGCGCCACGCCATCGCCCCATCGCCCGCGCGCGTCGACCACGGACGCCGACGCGCGTCGACCACGGACGCGCGCGCGCGCGGGCGCGTCGCCGTGCGCGCCCGCGTCATGGACGCCCACGCGCGCGACGCCGGCGACGCGTCGTCGTCGACGCGCGGGATGAAAATGACGACGACGAGACGATGGTGTTACGCCCCGGTCGACGATTCGTCCGCGCGGATGCGGATGCGGCGCCGTGGACGTCGACGCGGCGTGACGATGGGCGTCGTGATCGTCGTCGTCGTCGCGGTGATGTGCGCGGGGGTACGCGGGAGCGCGGTGCGGAAGGGGGGGGGGGGGACGGGCGGCGACGACGCAACACCCGCGGCGTACGAATTCGTCGACGAGGACGTGGACGATCGGTTCGGGTCGATGAGCGAGGATGTTTTACGGAAGATACTCGAGTCGAGCGTGGACGATGATCCGGACGACATGGCGTGGGCGGATGCGGATGAGGACGAGGACATGGACGCGATCGAGGACGAGTACGAGAACGCGGCGGCGACGGGCGCGGCGACGGGAACGCGCCGCGGGTTCGCGAGGTTAGGGAGTGGGGGGGCATCGGCGAAGGAACTTAGAAAGATTAAACGTATGCGCGCGCGGGTGAATCGAGGCGCGGCGACGGTGGAGGGGGTTGGCGGTGATCCGGAGGAGGCTTTGAGGCGCGCGCGAGACGCGTTGGAGGAAGCGACGATCGAGGACGCGGAGGAAGCTGGAATGGATGATGTCGAACTCGAGGCAGATTTAGGGGTGAAACCAGTCGTCGCCACGTCGAAACCTTTGACGGTGCGACAGAGGAATAATGCGGGAGGACGCCCGGGAACTCGTCGCCAGCAGGCACGCGGCGGGTTTCCGACTCACGTCTCGGGCTCGACGTCATCATCTAGCGATGCGCGCGAGCGCGACGCCGAGACGCGCCGACCGGGATGGACGCTGATGTTCAGCGATGATTTTGACGGCGGTGCGCTCGATCTCACGAAGTGGCGCCCAAAACTCAATCAGAGCGCGCCTGGGTTGGAGCGTCACGGCGGACAGCAACAATTTTACACGCCCGAGATGTGCAAAGTCGTCGACGGTGTGCTCGTCATGGCAACGCGACGTCAAGAAAACGTCAAAATGCCGGCGACGCCGGGCGCCGATCTCGGCGATGGGTCGAAGTATCCGTTCCTATCGTGTTGGGTGGACACCAAGCACGCGTTCAAGCAGTTGTACGGCCGGATGGAGATTCGCGCCAAGCTTCCCGATCCCAAGTGTCCCGGGATCTGGCCCCAGCACTGGATGTTACCCGATCCCGAGAAGACGGTGCCCAAGCACGCGTGCTGGCCACTCGGCGGGCAGATTGACATTATGCAATCGTACGGACGCGGACGCGGCGGTCCGGGCACGAGACCTGGGACGGTGGAATCGGGATACCACTTCGCTCCAAAGGCAGAGTGCGGCGCCGAGGGCTACGCGAGAAGCGCGTTCCCTCCATTCTTGGAGCAGCCCATTGATTTTAGCACAGATTTCCACACGTTCGCGGTGGAGTGGTCCAAGGAGAGTCTGACATTTTTTGTCGACGACCATCCCGTGCACCACATCTCACGCTTCAACGTGCCCATCATACCGAGATGGCCGTTCTACCTCATCTTGAACACGGCGGTATCTCCGTTCGGCATGCCCGCGGCGCTGAACGAGTGCGACGGTGACATGTTCCACTACGTCGATTACGTTCGGGTGTACAAGAAGACTTCGGCGACGCTTAGCCCAGACGTATGGCGCTTCCTCGTCTTTTCCTTTGTCGTGCTGACGACATTCATCACGATCAGCGTTTGTACGCTTCGTCGGGCGTTCAAGAATGACGGGGGCCGCTTCGATGAGTACGCCGCTCTGGACACGGATGACGAGGTGGACCCGCTCGCGTTCGATGAGCACCTCTACGTCACGCGCGAGGACGACTTCGGCGTCGTACGCAAACCCGTCAAGCCATTTTCGTACAGCATCGACGACGACGACGGTTCATCGCTCAGTCGTCGTCGCGGATCGTCCGCGTCGACCCCGCTCATCGGCGGCGACGTCGTCTTGGCGCTTCCGGATGACGGAACGGGACGGTTCAGAACGAGCGGTCCGTACATTCGACGACGAGCCAATCCTCCGAAGAGCTCGCGTCCCGGCGTCGTCGCCGACGTCTGGGCCCGCGACGACGAGTATTGATCCAACATCCACCCCCGACACCGACGCGCGGTCGCGCGGAGACGTCGCAGCCGAGCCGCCGAGGACGTAGACCGTTCGCCCGCCCGCGCGAACGATGTGATGAATCCCAACACCCAACCCGACACACCATCGCGCGTCGCGCGACGACGCCGCGATGTCATCGCGCGATGGACGACGCGATGGACGACGCGATGGACCCCGCGCGCGCGCGCGCGCGTCGACATCGCGCGCGCTCGCGACGATCGTCATCATCCTCGCCGCGCGCTCGAGCGTCGCGCGCGGCGGCGGTGGCGGCGGCGGCGGTAACGCGTTCACGGCCACGGTGCGAGAGTGGTCCGGCACGGTCTCCGGAGGCGTGGTGAAAACCTGGGACGCGGCGACGGCGTCGACGGAGGACGCGATGGGGCGGAAATTCGGGACGACGCTGGTGGATTCATTCAGCGGCGTAAACGTCGCCGCGGCGGTGTCGAGCGCGGCGCACGGCGTGGGTGCGGGATCGCAGTACGATGCGGCGGTGGGATGGAGCGAAAATGCGGCGAACGCGTTGGCGAGCGAGGCGGTTGATTTAGCGCAGGACGCGGGAAAGCTCGCGGAGATGATAATCGCCTGGTTCAAGGGGCTGGATTGTAAACTGGACGCCAATTTTTTCAAGGACGTCGCGGGGAAATTGAAAATGCCGGGCATCGGTGAGCTTCCGGGAATTATCAAGGGCCTGGGATCGGACATGGTTGGAAGATTCACCGGGAATACGTGCAACACGCTGTGGAACGCGATGTACGGCGACGCCGGAAACGCTCGCGAAGCCGCCGACGTGTTGAAAATGGCGGTGTCAGCGTTGAAGGATAAGTGTCCCGCCGTCGCTCAGGGTGGTGACCGACCCGCGTTTACGTTTGGTGTCATTCTTGAGGGTGAAGTCGCCGTCGGCGCCAGCGCCGGCGCCGGTTTGGAGGTGGGTTTCGGCGTGGATCTTAACGGCGAACGGTTTTGCTTTCTCGCGCACTGCGCGTGGGCGGGCATTACGCTAGACACGCCCAATGGCGGAGTCGCCGCCGGTTTCCAAGTGACTGGTTATAAGAGCATCTCAAGCGTTCCGGGGACGGCGTCCTTCCTCGAACTCGGCATTGGCTTGGGAAATCCTCCGTTTCCGGTCGACGGCGCAGGCGGGATCTCTTACGTGTACGCCGGTGACAAGTTGTCAGACATCGTTGGTGCGGGTTTCTCTCTGGCCGCGGACTTCAGCGGCGGGGGGATCATGCCGGTGGGCGTGTCCGTGGCGAAAGGAGTGTGTGACTGCCCGGTGTGCGTGACAGTCGACGGACGGAAGTGCGGCGACGCAGAACCAGCGCTCGACACGACGAAGCGCGCATTCACCGTTCTCGGTGGGGATCGGCCCGGGGGTGATCTCCACGCGGTGGCTGAGATTTCGGAAAACGGGTGCATCGCCGAGTGCATCAAGCGAGCTAATTGCGTCGGCGTGTCGTACAATCATCTTTCACGTTGGTGCTTTCTCAAAGGGACGAACGGTTTACGACACACAGTTTCGTCGAGTACCAAATTCCATCCCCGCGTTCCGGTCGGGTTCATCGTGCAAGCAGACGGCGATCGAAAAGGAGGAGACATGTCCGAGTGGCATGGAGTTTCCATCGATGAATGCGCCCAAAGATGCCTCGCGTGGTCGACCTGCGTCGGATTTTCGTATAGGTCACATTCGCACATCTGCAAAACCAAGGGAAAGCACGGCCTTCATGGAGGCTACGAGCTGAACGACCACCAATACTATCATCGAATCCCCTCACCGAAGTCAACGTTCACTAATTCTGGTTTGAATTTGGACGGAAAAGACCGCGGTGGGGGCGACAGAGCGACCGTCCACACGACGCTCGCAGAGTGCAAATCAAAGTGCAACGAGGACAAGGGTTGCATTGGTGTTTCGTATAACTTGGCGCCGGGATCTAAAGGCGTACCATGTTACACGAAGGGCACAAACCATATTTCTATGCATCCGCAGCACAGTGTCCATCAGTTAATTCACCGTATGCCGAATGGATTTCGCATAAAACAGTACGGCGACAGAGGTGGGGGCGATTTATTCGACGCGCACGTCTCTCTCACCGAGTGCGCTGAGCTGTGTTTCGCCCGGTCGGATTGCATCGGTTTTTCGTTCGACTCGAACGCGGGACGCTGCGTGCCCAAGGGACACTCCGCGAATACACACTACAATCACGGTGCGTATCAGTTTTACGAGCGCGTGGAGGCACCATTCTGGCACTTCGTCGCGGTCCATCATCATGATCGCCCAGGTGGCGACATCGCCGGTTGGATACACCACACGAACCCCCAAGCATGCTTTGCGGCGTGTCAAAAGGATCCAAAGTGCTTTGGCATCACGTACGATGGTAATTCGTGCGGGTTGAAAGGCACCCACGCGCACGCATACTACGCGCACAGCCACCAGTGGAGCTTCGCGTACAAGGTGCCGAACGGGTTCGCAATTCGCGGTGCGGGCGATCGTTCAGGCGGAGACATCCATGTCACGTTCGCGGGGGTCGATACGTGTGCGCGAATGTGCAAAGAGGACGATCGTTGCGTCGGCTTCAGTCACAACAGTAATGTTCAACACTGCGTTCTCAAAGGACTCCACGGTTTACACCCGCATCACAAACCGAGTCACCATCAGTACTATACTATTCACGGTCGCGGGAACTCGAGAGCGCTCGATGCGTCGCAGGCGGCGCTCGGTGATTCGCGATCATGGACAGCGTTCGCGTCCCACCCCAACGCAATCGCCTTCGCGGTCGCGTGCGTCTTCGCGGCCGCCGTGGCGACGACGCTCCGACACGTCTCTCGACGCGAACGGACGAGCGCGCCGACGTACGGATCGGTTTAAGCCCACAGACACAGTCCTCTTTTCTTCGTTCAACTGTTTTCTTGTAAATGTTGTTTCATAACTTTGTAACTCGTTCGTACGTGCATCACGTTCTCCCTGTGTCCGTCACGTTCTCCCGCCTCGACCGAGCACGCTATTCGGATTCGACCGCCCGCGTCCGCGTCCGCGTCCGCGTCCGCCGACGCGTTGCGGTTTCAATCCAGTCACAACCGTCGCCTCCATCGCCGCCTCTCGAGCGAACGTCGCGAGTTTATCCACCGCATTCGTCTCTTCCGCTCTCGCGCTCGCCTCTCGCGCCTCTCTCAACGTCTCCGACGCCCGCGTCTCGCTCGCCGCGCGCGCGTCCCGCGCCGCCCGCTCCACGCACTCGGCGCACCGCCGCGTCGTCGCCTCCATCCGCGTCTGCGTCCTCGAAAACGCGCTCGCGGGTTTCGTCAACGAACACGCCGAGCACGCGAGCGGTGAGTCGGACGTCGACGCGCCCGCGCGCGCGCGCTCGGCGCTCGCGAGCTCGTCGGTGCACTTTTTACACTTTCCAGGTAAACCTCTTTGGAGCTTTGATTCGAGCGTTTTACGACTGAATTCGCTCGCGGGGAGACGCTTACGGCGACAGGCGTCGCACTCGAACGCGCCGGCCCACTGCGAGGGGTCGGCGTTCGCGCTGACGCCGAGTTTGGACATGTCTGAGAGTGACGTCGACGCGGCGAGTCGCGGCGCGGTTCCGCGCTTCTTCACGGAAGGGTCGATAATCTTACTTTACGTGACAAACAAAAGGTATGGTTCCGACGGGTCGCCGCGTTGCGAGGAGAAAAGCGCCTAGGTTGTCGCGCGAATCGCGCGCGTCGCTCGTTTCGTCAACCGCCAGTCGCTCAGTCCTCCTCCGCCCACACATCCTCATCGTCGTACACGAACTGCGCGCCCATCATGTACGCATCATTCTCCGCATCGTACTCCGCCTTCACCCTCTTCACCGGAATCGACACCGCGTACATCGTTCCAAACTCCTCGTCCGTGTTCATGCTCACGTCCACCTCCTGCGCCTCGTCGACGTCCACGAACTCCCCGACCACGTCCATGATCTTCATCTTCATCGCGTCCATCGAGGTTTCACTCATCGTGCACCGATCCGCCACCAAGATCATCCGCAGCCGTTTCTTCGCCTCCATTCGCGCCGTGTCCTCCGCGCTCGGCGGGAAGAAGATGCGATACGCCATGTGCATCTTCCCCCAAAACGTCAAATCCGACTCCACCGCGTCTTCGCCGCTCGCGCTTCGCCGCGACACCGCGCGCGCGTCCACCGCGCGCGCGTCCACCGCGCGCGACGCCCCGTGGACGCCGC